GTAGCATTGATTTGACCCAGGAAGAGTGTATTTGCTCTATGGAGGGGATCTGATACCACATTAAGATGAAGACTGATGCTCCAAGACTGTTATGGAAGATGTCCACTGTTGACTGAAATGGCTCTGTGAGCAAATTAGTTACCTTGAAGGGAGGTTTTTACAACCCCAGGGTTACCTGAAACTCAGTTTCTTGTAGTGGGCTGGATTTAAAGCTTGGCCAACACTGTTTTGTGAACACTCTGTAGTTACTTTTAAATTGCCGTTGTGCATGGTGGGGGAATACTGTTCTAGAGCCAGGATTGATGTTTGTCTTGTGACCATTTGGCACGATTGTTCCCACTGCTTAAGCAGATATCTCTGCCAAAAGGACCTCTGGCTTCAACTGCCTTCGCCGGGGAGGAGGCATCAGTGCAATTCATCCCAGTCTTACTGGGAGAGCTGCAATGTCCTTATGTGGCTGCAAAGATTCAATTATCTTTGGAATCATGCTGTGTCCTCAGGTCAGCCCTCTGTCTTTCCACTCCTCCAGATAGCCTTGAAATCATTGGTTTCCATTAACTTTAACATAAGTCTCAGGATTTTTTTTCTTTTTTTATTTTTTTTTTAAAGAAGCAAGCTCTGTTCGTCACAGCAAGTGACGGCAGCAGAGGTGATGGACTTCTGTGGGGAGTTTGTCTCAACTTAAGGAGCAGTGCAGGCTGGAGCTCTGGATGCTCGAGGGACGGGGAGCATGGATGCAGGGGACCCAAGGAGATAACCTGGAAAATCAGGCTTCAGTAGCTAAGTGCTTGGGCAATTTATGATTTGGGTTGATTTCATCCTTTCAGAGGTTGGTTTTATTTCAGAAAGCACCATTTAATCAGAAACGTGAAAGAAGCCGGGGTTAGAAAGGTCATGTTTTCCTCCTTAGGCAGTGTTTCCTAAAGTAGGTCGTGACCCTCTTATGCAGGAATTTTGCAGCTGTTATCCTAAGGGTTGGAACTGTATCTGAGAGCCTACAGAGGCAAAAGCAGGGGTTATTAAACAGATCCTAATACCCACTGGGATCTCTTTCCTCCCTCCCCTGTGCCCTGAACAAAATGATCTCCTGCTTTTCAGGAATAAAGCAGCAAGCATTTGGCCGTGCCCAGTTTTCATTGTTTTGCTAAGCCGTTATGCTGGAAGAGATTAACTAGGGAACGAATTTTCTCCGAAAGCTGATCTTGAGGGAGGTGGTGGGAAGAGCCTCAGCCCTGACCTTGATTGGAGTGTCTTGAGGTGGGAGCAAGCCTGAGCTGAGCGCGGGAACATTAACCCGGTGCTGCCCAGGGCGCTGCAGTCGAGCAGCACGCGGGGCTGCGCTTGGCTCCCACCGCAGCAGATCTGCGTCTGCTGGGAGAGTTGGTTTAAGTTGTGCTACCCTAGCACAAACTGCCCTCTTTTTTTTTTTTTCCTTATGTTCCTAGCAATTGGGGAAATCACTTCTCTCCCCACTTTTGCCCATATATTTCGTACCTGCTTCTAAACTTTAAAAAAACCTTGCTTGCCAGGCTTTTTCTCTCCATTGGTGTAATCATCGTAAGCTACGCTCATTTTCACTTGGTGATGCATTTAGCATCCTTGCTGCAGCTTCTTTCCTTTCCTTCTCTTGCCAGCCTGGAATTTCACAAACAAATTGTATGGCTGCAAAGCCTTGAAGCGGCCGTGTTGCTACGCTTTCTGTACTCTTCAGAGAAGCATGGAGACCCGTCTTTGTTTGGTCCCAGGAGCACGGCGCGCCGCTGCTGCTACCAAAGAGCAGCTTGCTTGTGGCACATCCTGCTGCAGCTTGGCGTAATCCTTGCTTGATACGCTTTTGAGATTTCATTGTTTCTCTATAATTAAGTGCTACAGAGGAGCTGAAAGAAATGACGAATTAGCAGGAGAGGGGGGAGTGGGGAGAGCAGGTGGTGATCGAACTGAAGAGAGCTGCCAGTAAAGTAGGAGCAGCAGGGAATTAAATGGGAGGAGTCTCGAGTTCAGATGATTCCCTGCCATGTGCCCAGAAGGATTTAGTTTGGGATTTCATTACTGTTCAAATAATGCCATACACTCGCAACACATCGGGTCCCTGTGGGGTGGGGCACTGCCCAAATACTTAGTGAAAAGCAGTTTTTGCCCTGAAGTCCTAGTGAGCATTGATCAGTCAGGCTTTGAGGAGCAGCATGCATCATTCTGCTTTTAATTAGTCTGCATCTATTGTTTCTGGCAATAACGTCTTAAAAAAAAAAAGGCACAAAGCCATTCTTTGTGTAGTCATTTCTATAAAACCCTGGACTTCACTGTTGCCTTGTGAAAGATTTAGTCTACAGTAGCAGTATCGCATCTGGATTGTAAGAATTGTCTCTTCCAGTCATGCTTAACACCAACTGGGTGTAACTGGCACAGAAATCCTGGCACATCATGGTATGAGGGGAAGCAGGTGTGTGCTGAAGCTATTGAGTGCCTGAGGTGTCTGGAAGGAGTTAATGAGGACCGTGCAGGTGGCTTTAGAGATCAAAATAGGGAGCACAAAACTAACTGAAAAGGGTTGTGTGACAAGACAGTCCTCTGAGGTGCACAGTTGTATGTTCTTACAGCATCTAGCTTGTGTTTTCAGCCTCCCTTTATTACTATGCACCAAGACATCCAGGTAAAAATCCTAATTCTGGTGCTTTGAATGTGTCAGCAGCAATGTTTCTTCAGGGATCTGACTCTTGCTAAAGGAACGGTGCAGGCACAAGTTGTTCATTTTTTGCTCTGACTTCCAAAAAGCTGTAGGGAGACCAGCAGTGCTAGGAAATGCAAACTCCCTTCTCCTGTCTTTTGTCACCGCTTCTGTATGCTCTGCTGTCTTTATGTTGGGTCAGTTTGTGTGGTTCCCCCCTCCTTTTTTTCCCCACCCCAAAGAAGCAGTGGAAAAATTTACAGAAGCAGGTACAGGGTGGAGAGGAGCAGGTCGGTGGAAGCCAGTATCCCCAGTGAGTGGGAGCAGGGCTGTACTGGGGCTGCTGCTTTTGTGTTGGAGTTCTGCACCTGCTACCTGCCAGGCAAAATAATCACATGAAGTGTATGTGGAAGTTTGCTTTTGGGATGTTACTTCTGTGCTTAGTGTTGCATTTCGGTCCTGCTCCTGGCAGTCTAGTCCAACTTGGTTGTCAAAACCTCCTCTCGTTGCTTTTTTTTGAGTGCTTTTTGTTAAATGTCTGCCTAGACTCTTCCATCGTCTCCATCCTTTGCTTAAGGCCCTGCTTCTGGCACTCAAACTCTGTTTTCAAAGTCCCTTGTAAATATTCTTGTCCTTATTGCTATCATTTTCTTCCTCCCAAGCTTTTCCTGATAGTTTTTTTTTTTTTTCCCCATGCTGTGAATCGGCTCTGAAAAATAATATGTGTGCAAGTAATAAACTGTTTCAGTCTTGAACTTCTTAAAAACCCATTTGCTTTGTGAAATAGTACAGCTTTAACAACCTTGCCACTTTGTGTTCTGCACATTGCTGCCTTCTGCCTTTAAAATGTAAACTGAAGTTCGGGGAATCACCTGGCAAAGCTGATGCTGTTGCCCAGGGTACGCTTGCAATGCCATATAAAGCAAAGTGAAGCTCCTGGAGCTCCGCTGTAGCAGGTACTTACTGGCTGAAGATTAGAGAAGCAGTCTCACGATTCAGGACTTCGCATTTATTTCACAGTGGCTTTGGATGAAACAATTTTTCCTGGATCTTTGAGGGCTGGATTTCAAGGTCTTTTCCCCATCATATTCTCGCTTGGCTGTGACATGTTACAACTCGCTGCGAGAAGGCTGTTGGTGGTTGTAGGGAGCTTCAGTAGCCTTTGGTTGAAGATGAGATTCAGAGCTTGTGCCCTCTGTTTATCTGAATGTACCAGGAAAAAAAAATAGTTTGCAAAAATGCGCTTGTTCCGTATTGCAGAATCTGGAAGTAGTTTTTATAATGTTAAGAATGGAAGAGTCTGGTAAATTGTGTTATTCCAAAATGCAGAATAGCTCTTCTCATCTCCCTCATCAGCCCAGATGGGCTCAAGAGTTATTTCTGGGATAATGAACAAAATAGCTGCGGGTTTATTTTTAATAGCATTTTTCATAGGTATTGGCAGGAGGAAGAAGCTCGAGCTATTCTCCACTTATCCTACCCTCATTTTATTAATTTGAATGTATTCCTTTCTAGTACAGTTTGTAAATGCGGGGAACCAGGATGAAGGTAGAAAGTAAAAACAACAAGATGTCCTACTGATGAGATGCAAAAATGGCAACTATTTCTGGCTGTCACCAAATACAGGCTTAACATCAACTAGATTTTAAATCTTACTGGTGTAAACTCCTTTTGATATCAAAGGGTATGATGTTGCTGAGAAGTCTGGAACTCTTATCCCTACTTCTAGCAGTTTGAACAACCATGTGTTAAAATGTAATGTTTTTTCCCTATTGGAATTAAATGTTCTCTGGCTGTGGTTTTCAATCCATACACCGAGGTGGTGTGCTACTGCGTGAGAACTGGTGCTGAACAGGCTTGAATGAAACCTGCCTCGTGTCTGTGCATAAAATGTGGAGAAATGAGAACAGCAATTAGTGTGTAAAAAAAAAAAAAAAAAAAAAAAAATTTGAAAAATCTCATTAATATTGGGCAGCAAAGAGTGTGGCTTGCTTTGACACTTTGGCTGAACACATCAGGTTAAAAATCTGTTTGACCTTAGTGGCTTTTCTTTTAATAGGGCAGAAGAAGGAAGTTGAAGTCTGGACGGTTTTTTGTCTGCAGAGCTGTAATGATCCCTGCAAGGGATCGTAAAATCCACTGTGATGTTGCAGCTGAGCTGACCCACTGAGTTGCACAACCCTGGGGCAGGGAGCACCTGTGGGGTTACCTTCACTGGCTTGTCACCTGGTTCTGCTGTCTTTACTAACTGGCACTTGTAGTTTTGCTGTCTGACCTCCTTTCCTTTCTGCTGAAGTGTAAGATGTTGCTAACTCTCTGTCTTTTTCACCCCCAGGGAGTGGAGCGACTGCGGTGGTGCAGGCAGCCTTCTGCACTCCAAAGAAGGAGAGGGTGGCAATTAAACGGATCAATCTTGAGAAGTGTCAGACGAGCATGGATGAACTCCTGGTATGCAATCCAAATTGTCTGGGGCCTTGTGTTTCAGTTAGTCTGACCTCTGGGTTTGCTAAGTGCCTTAAACTTTCTTGAGGTGAGGTGGGAGTTTGTCACTGATTTCACCAGAGGCAGTTCAGTAGTCCTGGTTATGGGACACAGTGCTTGAAGTGTTAAAAAGAGCAACTGCTGGAGAAATACAGACTATTTGTTCAGAGCTAAGCACTGTGTGTAATCCCTTTGTTTTGAAGGGAGTTAATGTGCAAGTGCGAAGCTCAGCTGTACCCACAAGAGCTCTGCAGTTTGAGGGAGATCCAGAGCTACATAATTCCACAATCTTTAAAATTTAAGGGAATGGTTTTGGTTTCTTTTCTGCAGTTGTTTGTATCTTTTTCCCTTCATCTTCCTTTTACCTTCACCTGTAAAGAGAAAAACTGAAAGAATTAGCTCTTGTTCCTAATCTCTTTCTGGTACTGATGCCAGCTAAGGGATCACTCTGACGTATTGCAGGCTGCCATATGGAAACCCCCACTAATTCTGAGGTCAGGACAGGAGGTAGAGTCTTTTGGAGCTGTAGCTCTGTAATTTATGATTCTGTGATTCTATTCTAATTTTCTTCTGCTGTGTGCTTCTTTTCTCAAGATTTTCTTGGTGGAAAACAGGTAGCTGGTAGCTGAAATTTCCTTTTTCTCATCTGGCTTGTATGCAGATGGGTTTTCTTCATTTTCTCCTTTCTATGGTGTTTGTGTACTGATGCTTCTGTGGTGCAGCAGTTCTCACATTTGCCTCACATGTGGAAGGTCCCTGGATTTAAGCCAGGCAAAAATGGAATTATAGGTATCTGCAAAACTACTCCAGTAAAGAGGAAGATGTCACTTTTTAGTGTGCCTGTGAAGTGTCATGTGTTGTAGGACTTTTAAGATGACCTACGTTCAAATCCTCTTACGGCTCATGCTAGCGTAGGAGTTCAAGATCTCTTTGCTTTTCACAGTTGGTCTTTTTGTCCTGATACCAACCCTTGGCACTCTTTTCAAGGCTTTGATGTGACTTGTCCGTACTACTCTGCCGCAGTTGTATTTCAAACTATGTTGTCATGATGTAGTAATTGAGATTGTTAGTCTTTGAGTAATTGCCAAATCCAGCTGAAAGGGTTAGGTTCAGAAAGATAGGCTGCGGAGACTTGGCATGTAATTTTAGATAAGTACTTCTAATTGCATACTTTAAATCTCTGGTTGACCCGTTCCTCACAATGATTTTTCTTGTTGTCAGCTCTCCTAAGCTTCTGATTTTGTGACCAGATCTAGCGTGGCTCCTTCTGTAGGCTTGTGTATGCAGCTGTAGGTACTTGTGAACTTAAAGTTGTGGAGGGGGGGAAGAGGATTGTTCTGAGCTGTAGCAGCTTCCTGGGACAGTGGTTGCCAAGGTTGTTGTGCGAAAAAGAACTTTCCCTGGGTTTGTTCTGGATTTGACAGTTTCTTGAATGTCATTATCCAATACAAGAACCGAAGGGTGGAAATCCTGATTTCCCTGCCATGTGCTTTTACCTTCCCTGCTTTTTATCCTGTTGTAACATTTGTTTCTTTTCCAAAGTAAATATTCTCAAGCTTTTAAATCTTGTGTCCCTTCATGGCTGTTTCCTTGATCAATTAAATAAGCTTTTTTAAAGCAACTACTTGCTATTGCAAGATTGTATGGTTTTTTTTTTTCTCTCAGAAAAGTAAGATTACAGTGGTTTTAAGAGGCAAGTGCAAAGAGAAATAAGATGAGTTCATACTGGGGTATGTTGTGCCCGCTCCTTGTTTTTTCTCCTCTCCCGCAATGCAGTTAAAAGCATGAACTTGAGCTTTTATTAGATCCATTATCCTTATATTGCACTGAAGGTATCTGAGCACAATAGCTGGCTTATGCCTGGGGTCATGCTCTTACTACAGCACTGCCCAGGCATTAGAGAACAGGATAGAAAAGGGAAAATTGTGCTTAAATGATTTTTTTGGGAAGAGGTTTATACACTTTTTCAGACTAATAGACTTCTCTGTTAAGCCAAGCTTGTTTATTCCTAGAATCTGCCTGGCAAAGAGGGTAAAGCGGTGTTGCTTGAGAGAGGATGGAGGGACCGCAAACAGTTTTGCCAGCAGTAAGGATGACTTATTTCTTTGACTCTTTCAGTGTCTGTGTTGCTCAGTGACTAGTGCCTCTGCTTCTGGAGCTGGAGGAGAAGAGAGGTGTTAGTTTGAGGTGGGTTTGGAAAATGCACAGTGACTGTGTCCCTGGCTGAATGGATGAGTGGCCTTGAGCTTCCCACCTCCCAGCTTGTGGAGATGCCATACTTAGAGTGATTAAGTGGTAGGACTTCGGCTTGTTAAAAGTATCGATCTGGATCCTTGTATCTCAGCAAACACTTGGGCTGTGTGCGTGGTCAGGAATAACCTGCATGTCACTGCGTGACAGCACGTGGTGATGCAGTGGGTTAATTTACTGCTGCTACAGGGTGTGGACATGTAGGAAGCACCAATTTTGTTGCATCATGAGCAAAGCAAGTGGAGGGCATACAGCTCTCCAGAAGTGCTAATTGCTGTGAAGAGCAGAGAGGCAGGAATCATGAAGTGCAGAGATGTGGCTCTTTTTAGCCCAGCTGCTGAACTAGGTGATATGTCAGGAATTTCAGTGCATGTTATTTGTTTTTTTTTTTTCCTGTACATTTTTTGAATTCTCCCAGAGCTTTTCTAGATGACATGTGTGGTTTCAGCTGGAAGGGAAGTACCAAATAACTTATAATGATTCTTGCTTGCTGATGTGACTGCAAGTGGAGTGTAAGGGGGGATGGTCAAATACAGTGCTGACTACAATTGGTTTTGGATTTTTTTTGTGGGTTTTTTTTTTAAACTGAAATTCCACTTCTTACTTGTTCTACGACCCAGAGTAGTTAACAAACTTAGGCAGCATTTGGTGCATGTTCGTAAAGTCTGCTCCGTGTAGTGTGTTTCACAGCTCAACCCTGTTCACTGCTGCGTTTTGCTCTTACCTCTCCTTTCCTTTGTGGGCTGCTGGCTGCGTTGTGCTGTTGCTGATCCTTGAAACACAGTGGTGTAACTTTTCCCTCAAAATAGCCACACCTCAGGCTTTTTCCTTCTTGTTTTAAAGAATTATTGATCTGAAAGGCCTTAAACCTCCCCTGTGTTCAGTAACCTCCGCTTCATTGGCATACAGTTAATGCTGAGTTAGCTTGCTTTCACCAGATGGATTTCTTTTTTTTTTTTTCCCCTCCGTGCATTGAACAGCAGATGACATGAGTTGTCAGCTTAGCAGTTAGTAAGAATGTTGAGCGGCAGAGAGGAGAACATAAGCTATGAAGTATTTCACATTGGGCTTTCCCAGCTGCGGGAGAACTGCTGCACATTTAGTTCCTAGCATGATTCAACAGGAGACAGGTTCAGGAAGGAGCATGGAAGATTTACTGTTGCCGCTCCTAGGATGAGATTCCAGACTCTTCCTAGTCCAGAGACTGATAGGACTGAGCCTGACAGGTCTACACATGAGAGGAGTGAAGTGAAGGTACTGCTCTTCCCTTGCTGTGCTCAGAGGGCAGTTAAGGAAGCCAAGCGAACATATTGAACTGCCACAAGAAGCACTGTCCTTTTGAATTTCCTGAAATTAACCTGGGGAGCTTGCTGCCAGTGATGTGGAGATCAAACATTGTGTGAGATTAAATAAATCAACCTACAGTTGAGAAGGTTAAATTATATGGGATTTAAAGAAAGGATTATGAACTCCCCTGGTTTAAAGCATAAGGCAACTGTTAACTGCCCAGGCTTAGTCAGAAGTCTTCCCTCTGGGCAGATAACTGTGTAACTGCTTGTTATAAGGTTTTACACCTTCTTTTGAAGAATTGGGCAGGATATTGAACTGGCTTTGATCTGACAGAGCTGTTCCTACAAGTGGATTAACCCGTCTATGGGGTTGTTGGGAACAAAGCAGCAGACTGTGGTAGAAATAGTACAGATGTCTCATCCGTGCCTGTCATCCTTTGGGAATTGCTGTAATAATTCCATTTTCACTCCTGAAGGACCTTTACACTTGCTCCATGGGGGAAAAAAGTCCCAAAGTGTCAGTGCCAGGGAGTCTGGTGTATAATATGTGGCACCTGCATGGTTGGCTGATGGGCCGTGTTATGCGGATCTTGCATGATGCGATTGCAGCTTTACAGAAGACCTAAACCTGAGCTGGGTACAGCTTGGTTGTGTTGTTTCCCAAAAGAGCAAGAACAGAAATCTTAATTACTGTGCTGGTTGAAGTTTGTGGGTGGGCTTTTTTTGTGTGAAGTATTGACTATCGTGATCAATGTTGTCCCTCACGTGGGTTGAGTGAGCATCACATGGTGCATGTAAGGGAATTTGGAATTGGCTGCATGAACTAATCACAAATTTCAGGCATTGTTGAGCCATAAGCACTGGGTATTGATCTAAACAACTGTAAGGGCCACCGATACGTTAGGTGGCCTGTAAGGGTCACTGATGCTTTAGTTGGCAAAGTGTGCAAAGCTGGCTTCACTTGCGACTGTGGGATGAGTCAGTAGCTTGCCCTTTCACTTTGTGGCTGAAACCAATAAAAAATGGGTGTGTATTAATTGCCACACTGTTAGTTTTAAACATCTGCTTCCCTCAGTACTTTATCACTAATGCTGCAGACCTTGACAGAGCGAATGAGCACCAAATGATGCTGAAGAACAGCCATTGAAACGAGCAGCTGCCGAGTGACTTCACACTGGGGCGCTTTCTTCCTATCCCCTGTGATTCCTTTATGGGTGAAGACTTTTTATCCCGTTCAGAATTGTTTCTGCTGTTGCTCTCGATGGGCTACTCTAACTGTTTTTTAATCGTGCCGCTCTATCTCCTGTAGTCACATTTTGAGATGAGGAGTTGAACTGGATAATCCAGATGTGGAAGTTGAATCAGAATCTCTGATTCTGAGCTTTGTTCTTTTTCCCTATCATGTTCAAAAAAAGTCTCTCAAGCTGGTTGTGATAGAAGACGTTTTTGATTTTTTTTTTTTTTTTTTTTTTTTAATGCTGATGTTTAGCAAGGGGAATGAATTAATATTCTCGATTTTACAACCTTTTGGCTAAACCATGAGAATTTCACATGGAACAAAATTTGAACAATTATGGCTGCCTGTGAGACTGGAGCTCTGAATTCTGCTTTAAAAGGGTGATGAAGAGCTTTCATGCCTTATACTTTGAGATTTCAACAGAGAGACAAGTTCTTTGCCAGCTGTGGGTGTATTCAAGGTGGGGATCACATCTGACCTGCTCTGATTTTCTCCCCTTCATGCTGTCCCACAGTTCTCTTACAGCTGCAATTGCCTTCTAGTAAGGTAGCCAAGTTGACAGCTTTCTGGATTCCTCCGAATTTGGAGGTAACCACATGAAAGCACACTGCTGCTGTATTGTATCTCTGGAGTTCCTGTCAACATGTTGGCAGTAATAAATAAAGCATGATTTTCATCCTCGTATTTGAAAGCAAGTGTCTTTTGAACCATGCCTCAGGGACAGAGGACAGATAAACACAAGGAGTAGAATGTGATGATGTGAACAGAAAATACCAGTAAGAAAGTTCAGCCAGTAGCTTAAACACAGCCCTACCCGTTTTGTATTTCTGCTCCTATTCACTCAAACTTCAGTTGTACATCAGTGGGCAAATAAATCCACTTCCGAAATAGCAGATCTGCAGAAGTGTGTCTGACTTAGAGTAGACTAGTAGGTTTCTTATGATTCTAAATTATACTTCACAACAGTTTTATTAGTGTTTCCCAAGCCTTGAAATACTTCTTTTATTGCCCATAGAAGTACTGAAAACATTCATCAGAACCCTTAATGGAAGACATGGAGGCCTTTATAGCTAATCCCACTCTTATTTGCTTTTGGTATTTGACAGTGGAGATATTTTTAATATCTATCCCAAGGTGAGCATGTAACCATCTCCATGCCAGTGCCTGTGTCTAGACGTGTTTTTATCGGTGATTCATTCTCCGTAGCTGAGCAGAAGGTGGAAACGGGGAATCGAGTGAGGCTGCTGAGCTGTGGTGGTGCATAAGGCAGAGCTGTCCGCCATCCGCTGGATCTGCGGGTGGCTGGAGGGGTCTTGATAAGTGACCCGTGACTGTTGGTAGAGCGAGAATAAAGCAAGGTTTCTAGCCTAGAGTAAATAAAGCCCAAATAAATTCTGACGTTTAGCACTCGCATTATTACTGAGGGGTAGAAATCACGGAGATTTTTATGAGGAGTCTTCCAATACAGTTTTATGCTAGTGGAAATGAGCACAGCTCTAACTCAGTTATTTCTTCTTCCCGTAATTTGAAGTAACAGGCTTGTTAGGGAGGAGACAGGGAAGGAAGTCTTTGACTGCTCGGACTTTGTCACGTTTGAAGAGCCACGAACTCTTTGAAAAACTTTAGAAATAGGCTTCAAGCTGCGATTACTACACACAGAAGACCTGTTGCTGCATTTTATCCCCTCCTCCTTGTTTTTTCCTGTAAGTTTTCTTTTGAGCAGAGCTCCCTGGTGATCCTTGACTGAGATTCCTGCCTTAACTACAGCTCTTCAGCCCGTGGGTTTGTAGTGGTGGAGCACACACTGTTGTGTGCCTGGCAGAGCTGGTGTGGTTTCAGTTATGTGAGGAAGCGTTTTGACTGCAAAGCCCACTATGATTTGCCGTGATCAGTTAAAACAATTGTATGTGTTGAGCCTCTGGGATGTTGGTACCCTCTGGGAGGGGTGAAGAAGAGCAAAGCTTTGGTGTAGCTGCTGTGGGATTTGCCTAGGGAGCTATAAAAATGGGGTTGGAGGTCTGTGGGTGAGAGGGAAAGTCTGCCCAACTGCTGCTCTTTCTGGTTGGAAATAATGTAAAACTACTGCAAATCATGGGCTGTGATACAATTAATTATTCAGAGATATGCTACACTCTGTGAGAAATAGCTTAATCTGCCTGTGTTACACATGCAGGAGCTGACTGAGATGTTTAATTGCATAGATCAGGCTCGTGATTATTTGTTTTCCCTCTTTGTGCACTGAAGCTTGTGACAGATTTGAGATTTGTTTCTATTTTTTTTTAATTATTATTATTTTTAAACCACGCTTCACAGCCTGGGGAGCAGACTGTGATAATGAATGAGAGAGGAAGCTCTTGGAAAATAACAAAATAGTAACTGAGCGCAATGGAATGCTTGCAGAATGCTGTAGTACAGAGCTGCTCCAATGGCAAAGATCTGATCCAGGTCTAGGCCCTTAAATAAACTTGGTCCAGACTTTGTCTCATGTCTCCTGAGCTCCAGTGGGTACACTAATACATATAAAATATGCACTGTTTGTGTCTATTTCTTGTACTACTCTCTGGATCTCCCAGGGAGCTAGTTCAAAATATTTTGAGTGGTCTAGCTAAGAAAAGATCAAAACAGCTCTTCTGGGTTGTTTCTGAGAATGAGGGATTTGGGGCAGGTCTGGCTGATGGGATGATTACCCAGAGTCCTGCTTGCTTCTTACCACCTGTGTGTCTTCTGGTGCCACTTGTACATTTGTGAGGTTTATTTAATTGTCTGAGAGAGAAGTTATGCACTTAGAATTTGCTTGCATGTTTAAAGGAAAAAAAAAATTAATCTTAAATTTAATCTTTAGGCTGAATGCTGATTTCAGGCTTGTGGACCAAGATTGTGTCAGGTTTATGGATCCGTTAACTAAGGGCTCAGTTCAGCGCTCTGAGCAAGTCCAAAATGATCCCAGAGTAAGCAAATGAATTCAAAACTGAGCACAGTGAGTTTTGAAAAGGTTGCAGGAATCAAGTGTTGTGCTTAGGTTTAAAGCCCAGAGCTTTCCAGTCAGGTTTTGGGCAGGGAGTATGACAGGGCACAAAGCAATCACTCAGTCTGACCTGTGTTACCTGGGGCCCCAGTTTCCATCCATTCCCTGGGAGAAATTTCAAGTGGGGAAATAAAAAGAACATAACTTTTTGTTGTTGTTGGCAGCTTTTTCTGTCGAGGGATTTCTCTGCATTGTGAAGAAACCTAACAAGAAAGCAGTAGAAAACTCCAAAGGTGCTGATTTATTTGTTTTTTGAAAAATAGCTTGATACAAGTGAGTGCAAGGAAGGCAGCTGGAGCTGTCAGAGTAAGCAGAGGATGTTGTTTCAGGCTCTATTTATTTTCACGGACTAGTTTTTATTCAACGAGTACGCTACACGGAGATGAATAGTCTACTTGCTACTCTTTCCTGTTTAGAAGGATTCTTCTTTCATCTGCTTATTGGAGTTTCCAGGAAAGTTGGTGCCTCTTCTAGAGAGGCAGAAAGAGGAACCAAGTATGTTCCATTCCTCAAATGCACCGACTCCCTGAAAAGCAGTATTGACGTGGGTAAACCAACATGAGCTGCTTTGGAGCTGTGATTGCCAGCGAAACCCTTGCCAAGGGGGAGCAGTCTGCCTTTAGACTACACTCAGTTGCAAGCAGAGCTTTGTACGGGAGCAGAAGGAGAATACGTTGCATCTGGGGGGTGTCCTGAGCATGAGCGAGTCCCTTCTCAGAGCTCTCACTTGTGCCCAGACACAGGAAAGGATCAGGGAGTGAAGGTCCCTTGCTCTCCTCCTTCCCTGTGTGTTTGGGATTACCGTGCTTCTCTGTGACTTGGGGAGGGAATTGACAGTGAGCAGTGATTAAACTTTCGGAAAGTAAGTGGCATGTGTGTGTTCAGTGAAGGAGTGTCTTAGTTGAGAGAGCAGAAGTTCAGTGTATCGGACGGGGGATGAGTGTCCGACATGAGTGATGCTGGAGGGCACAACTTGACAGATTGGGGAGCTTGGCTGTAGTTTCCAGCTTGGCTGAAGCACAAAGGCCCAGCTGGGTGTAGTGCAGGGCACCAGGCATGGCTCTGTGGCTGGCTTTTGCCTAAAGACAGTCAAGGAACTGCAAGGTGTTCTATCCAAACTGGTGATTCGTGCCTGCATAATGAAAAATCACTCAATGCTTTCTGTGGTAGTGTTCCTCCCATAACCTGGAAGACTTCAACTCGTAAGCAAGTCTAAGAATAAACATGATCAAAACTCAAACAATGTAGTATTTGAGCATATTTCATATTGTAGTTCCTCAGCAGTGGCCAATTACTTCCTTAATCTCAAACTGAATTCCCTCTTCTTCCAGTATGAGAGCAGATAGAGCTGTCCTTTGTGCCTCCAACCTGACTGCTTTCCTGCTGGGAGTAAACATTAGGAATAAAGGCCTTTTTCTCCCAGAGGCAAATATTTCCCTTTCTCATCCAAATGTTAGTCTTCAACAGATTATGCATCTGTTGTGTAATGTCTCATTGAAAGGAGTCAGCATGAACTTTTTGGGTAACAGACTGGTGTAAATTCTTGGGAATATTCTGTTGTGGCTGCATGCAGGTATATTAGTTAAGACCACTTTACCCTTGCCAGAGGGTTTTTGGTCAAATTCCAGATGGACAGGAAGAGTACCCTAAAACATCCTTGTGCCTTAGTATGATGCAGGCTGAGTATTAAGGATATTTTTGGATTTTTTGACTTTAGCTTCTAGGTATCCTTTTTCTTTGCAGCCTGTTTGAACATTGTGTCTTCAGGAAGATAACTTCTATGTCTGAGGAATAGTAATCACAGGGTTCAACTCCTAATGCTTTGTTTTTCTCTACAGAAAGAAATTCAAGCCATGAGTCAGTGCCATCACCCCAACATTGTATCTTACTACACATCATTCGTGGTGAAAGATGAGCTTTGGCTGGTGATGAAGTTACTTAGTGGAGGTGAGTGATCCAATTTCTTTACCCTAAAATGCAGCATAAAAAGCTGTCTTCCAGTAATACCCTTGTTTACTTCCTGAGCTTTCCACTTGTGAATTAAGACATTTCATAGAATCCTGTAGGTTGGAAGAGACCTTTAAGATTGAGTCCAACTGTTAACCTAGTACTGCCAAGTCCACCCTAAACCATGTCCCTGAGCACCACATCTACGTGTCTTTTTAAATACCTCCAGGGATGGTGACTCAACCACTTCCCTGGGCAGCCTGTTCCAGTGCTTGACAGCCCTCTCAGTGAGGAAATTTTTCCTAATATCCAGCCTGAACCTCCTGTGATGCAACTCGAGGCCATTTCATCTTGTCCTGTTGCTTGTTACTTAGGGGAAGAGACTGACCCCCACCCTGCTAGAGCCTTGTCCCCTGAAGCTCCTTTTCTCCAGACTGAATGATCCCAGTTCTTTCAGCTGCTCCTCATAAGATTCATTCTTGAGACCCTCCACCAGACTCGTTGCCCTTCTTTGGACACGCTCCAGCACCTTAGTGTTGTGTGTGGGTTTGTGATGGTGTGGGGTTTTTTTGTTTGGTGTTTGGGGTTTTTTTTTTGTTTTTTTTTTTGTTTTTTTTTTTAGTGAGAGGTCCAAAACTCAATGTAGATAGTATTCAAGGTGCAACCTCACCAGTGCCCAGTACAGGGGGACAATCACTGCACCAGTCCTGCTGGCCACACTATTCCTGATGCAGGCCAGGATGCCGTTGGCCTTGGCCCCCTGGGCGCGCTGCTGGCTCGTGTTCAGCCGACTGTCCATCAACACCCCCAGGTCCTTCGCGTCCCCCCAGCCCCCCCTCCCCGAGCCTGTAGTGTTGCCGGGGCTTGTTGTGGCCAAAGTGCAGGACCCAACACTTGGCCTTGTTGAACCTCGTACAGTTGGCTCGTCAATCAGATCACCCTGGAGAGCCTTCGCACCCTCAAGCAGATCAACCCTGCTGCCCTGCTTGGTGTCACCTGCAAACCTACTGGGGGTGCTCTCAATCCCCTCATCCAAATTATTAATAAAGATATTAAATGGAACTGTCCCCAACGCTGAGCCCTGGGGAACACCACTTGTGACTGCTGCCAACCGGATATAAGTCCATTCACCAGCACTGTCTGGGCCTGGCCTTTCAGCCAGTATTTTCCCCAGTGAAGGGCATGACCCTCCAGGCCCAGGAGAATGCTGTGGGAAATGGTGTCAGAGGCTTTACTAACGTCCAGGTAGACAACATCCACAGCCTTTCCCTCATCCGCTTGTCACCGAAGGGGATCAGGTTTGTCAAGCAGGACCTGCCTTTTGTAAACCCACGCTGACTAAGTCTGATCACCTGATTGTGATGGCACTCAAGATGATCAGCTTCCCTGGCACTAAGGATAGACTGACAGACCCATAGTTCCCTGGATTCTCATTCTGGCCCTTATTGTAGATGGGTGTCACATTTGCTGATCTCTAGTCCACTAGGATTAGCCAGGACTGCTGGTAGGTGACTGAACTGGCTTGGTGAGCACTTCTGCCAGCTCTGCCAGTACCCGTGGGTGGATCCCATCTGGCCCCATAGACTTGTTTGCGTCTAAGTAGAGCAGCAGGTCACTCGCCACTTGTCCCTTGGATTATGGGGCCTTCATTCTGCTTCCTGGCTCCATCTTCCAGTGTAGCAGGCTGAGTAAATATAAATAAAATAAATATTTCAAATATTTTTAATAACAATATTTCACTTCAACTCACTCAGCTCAGAAAGAGCTTCTCATGTTATGTACATCAGTAATAACACCTCGCTACATGACTGTGTGAGCTTTTTCTTCCCCTCTTTTTTTGTATATTTGACAGTGTTTCACATAATTACTTTGTATGTGTCTGCTGGATGACTCTTCTATTTGAAAACTGTAGAATTAGGACTTCAGACATTGACAAGAGAAACTTAAGTGCAGATGTAGTAGTTGAAACCATCTTAAACTTCTAGAAAGTGAGCCTCACAGTCATCTTCTCAAATGATGGATTTGAAGTGGTACTTCACAGGTCATGTTACTGAAAGTTTCTTCATCTTGCTCTGTAAGACCTGAATAAGATTTTGCACTAGAAAAGCGTGCAACTAACTACACTGAGCCCAACCCCTTCCTTTAGCTTTATCTCCTCTTGCATGGCTGGTTCCATGACCTTTTTCTCTCTTGTAACTCGGAGGCCTGCATGGTGCTGATGGCTACTGGCCATTCTGTTGATTTTAACGTACTTACATGTTGGCTGCCCTTGTGAGGAATTGAAATCACCTCTCTTTTGGGCAGAGCTGCTCCTATAATGTCAGTGCACGGCCTTAAAAAGGGAGGAGAACATCTGTGTGGGTCCAGCTTGATTTGGTTGGTGTCAGTCCTGAGAGCTTGGAGAGCTTGACAAAGCAACTGGGAATACTTCGGGCCGTTACAGTGTACTGCCTAGATAAAACAGAGCCAGGGAAACTTCCCCTTTCTGGATTTATTATCTCAGAAACAGCTGTTTTTTGAGAGAGAGATTTTGAAAATTTATTAGTAATGCTTTATTTGATGTCATAATATTTTCCAGGATTCCTGTTTAAGTTACAATTGAGACAAGAAGTGGAGTCAAGTTCTGGATGATATCATAATATTTTCTGGGATCCCTTTTTTAATTTGCAGTTGAGATGAGAAGTGGAATCAAGTTTTGGATAATAACACAGAGAACTTGTTAAGTCTTATGCCTTTCTTTAGGGAGACTTTATTTTCCTGGCACCCTATTGAAAAGGAATTGAAAGTTGAAAAAAACCCTGGGTGTCTTGCTTTTAAAAAAAGATATTTATTTGCTTCTCTGTTCTTGACTTAATACCGAGGACTGTAAAAGGCCAGAAGATGATGTGGAAAAATCTGGCAAAACCTTTTGGCTTTTTCCACAAGAGCTCAACAATGACCATAAAACACGTGTCTTTGAAGATCGTCTTTAGAGTATTTTAGCAGTTCTCTTTGGGGCACTCAAATTTCCTGCCAACTTCAGTCTGTCTTGGAGGGTTTATAATGTCTCGTGTGTCATTAAGCAATACACCCTCTCCTTTCTTGGAGGGACATGTAAGAAATCATTAAAGATAGGGTAGTGGGTTGTGTGTGGAAGAGAATCCCCTGCCAGCTTAGCTCAAGTAGTTCTGCGGTGTGTGTGAAGAGTGCATCGTAGAATCAGAGAATCACAGAATGGTCTAGGCTGGAAGGGACCTTAGAGATCATCTAGTCCAACCTCCCTGTCATGGGCAGGGACGCCTCTCAACTAGATCAGGCTACTCAAGGCTCCGTCCAACTTGGCCTTGAACACCTCCTGGGAGGGGGCAGCCACAACATCTCTGGGCAATTTATTCCAAAGTCTTGCCACCCTCGTACTGAAGAATTTCTTCCTAAGATCTAAGCTAAATCTCTTCTCCTTCAGTTTAAATCCATTTCCCCTTGTCCTGTCAGTGGAAACTCTTGTAAAAAGTCCCTCCCCAGGCTTCCTGTAGGTTCCCTGTAGGTATCTGTGGGAAGGTTTCTGCAACACAAGCAAATGGCATTTCAGGGGTGCAGAGGAAGGAGCAATGTTCATGTTTTGGGAGAGTACACAACTTCTTTGAAAAAAATGCACAGCTGCCTTAGCTAGTATTTTCACAGCAGTTTTATCTCAGAACAAAGTCAGGAGTAGACTCATCCTTGAACCTCCAAATGCTGTTTCTCTTATTCTTTGGTTTTGTTGTTTGATTTTTTTTTTTTTTTCCCACCTGATGAGAAGCTGGAAAAAAACCCCTTGACTCTTTGTGGACCGTCTTTTTGTTACCAAGGCATCGCAAATGTGAAGACCACATAATAATCATTGCTTTAGAACCAGCCTTTTAATGGTATGAATATGACCTGTTCTTATTTAATATTCGTTTTCAATGGACTTCTGGGCTCTATCGACTGATAGTTGATCCCTGTGCAGCCTGAGCATTAAGTGAGGTACTTCCAGTGAAGTACAGCTGTGACACGTCACTGGTGCGTACTTTGAAGACTAAAGTCGTGCAATAAGACAGACTAGTAGCAGTGTAATCCCCTCAAAACACTTCAGTGAGCCAATGTTAAATTTTCTCACTTAAAATGAGTCATTTTGGGGGTTGGGAGAATTGCTAAAGAACTCCAACAGACTTTGAGAATGACCTGTTGCTGCTTTTTATGCTGTAGGGTACCTTGAGAGAGATTTTTCAGCTGTTTTCACTTTATACTTTTTCATGGCTGTAGTTCAGAAATCTCATTTTAGATCTCGTAAGCAAATTCTACAGGACGGTCTTGAGGGTGTGGGAAGGAACTTGTGCGTTGGAGCTTTCCAAGTGAAGCGCTTTTTCATTCACTTTTAACGAGATTATTTCCAGTTGGTTTTGGGCTGAGTGATCTATGTAACAAGAAACACTTTAGAAGCTGCTTCTCATTCCTTTCGGCCTACTTCTTATCAGTAATAAAGCGTCTAGTTTTGTCGTCATTTGTCATCCAGCAGGAAAAATAATGATTTGAGTTTCTCAACAGGAAAAGCCTTTGAGCTGTTTTTAAAAACCAGAAAAGAAAAAAAAATTGACAGGGTGCAGCCTAACTCTTCCATTCTGCCTGACTATTCAGGGAGCATGGACTGAGAATTTGTACATCCCAGTATAAAGTCTGTTTTTATGTCTGTTCTGTATCCTTTTGGTGGCTTTTGTACTTGAGAATGTCTTCCGGGTAAAACTTCAGAATCTTGTTGCTTCTCTTCCATCAGTGTCAGTCTATACTGGCATGTGTTTTCAGGCTGAAACTACTTTTAATTTCAGCCTACTTATACTGACTTTATTACAGCCCACAAGACACACCGGACTGTAATGCAATTTTTATTTTTTGTAAGTGCAATTTAGTGTTTTTTCCTCATTGCAGTCATTTTGTTGAAAGCCTAACTTTGTCATGTATGCAAGTATTTTAGAAATGGCTCAGCCCGACTGGCCTTGTCGCTA